TTCGTTCTGGCTGTGTTGTGAGAGAGGATGGGTAAGAACATCAAACACCAAATTTTCAGCATCCTCACCCAGGTCTATAATACCCAGAACTGTGTATGTGTGTGAAAACTGCATGAGAATTTAACTGGCAGAAAACAGATAGTTTTGTCATATATACACACCCTTGACTGGTTCTGATGCAAACATGGTTTGGTGTTACAAGAACAGACTTGCTCTAGGCTTGGCCTCGTGTGCTCCTTCCTCTGCTCTTTTCCTTGAGAGATCCAAAGCATCTGCTTTTTGAACTAACCATTGTTCTCTATTATAGCTGATCTGTGGAACTGATGTTTTTCTTAGTGTAGGTATGAATGAAACCAGAGTTTGATCCTAGTTTATCTGATTCAATCACAGTTAGAACAAACCTTGGCTGCCCAAGTTCAGATATAATAGAAATTGTAGGTAATCTGGAAGAGGTTTTTGATCTCTTCCTCATATGTGAGAAAGAGGAGAGGGGAAGGAAAAACACCCAAGAATGAGAATGATACAAGCTTATTTTGTAATGACAAACCATGGTTTGTTGTTGCATCTGAACAAGGCCAGAGTTCAAATGATTGCTACTGAATCATATGTTTACTGAATTCCTTTATCATGACATCATTTCTGGAAGCCCTGCTATAAATATTAGAGACCAATATGTATGAACACAAACAGTTATTTTCACACACATCAACGCAGTATCTTTCAGTATGAGATAATCTTTTCAATAGATTTGGCCTGGGAAATACTGTTGTCAGTGGGAACAATTGAGACAAGCAGAGTAGGAAAAAATTCTTACCTACCAACACTTTGGATGCATTCAATCGTATCTCACCTTAATAATCTGAAATATGAATGATATATATGCCTCAATCTGCCCCTTCCTGTCTCCCTTCTTGGAATAATGTGACTAAATCTTCAATTTGATCATTGTTTTCTAATTTGCCTGAACCAGAAAACCATTGTTACCAGGTTAGGAGCAGACCATCATCTTAAAACACAAATTGAAGTTGTTTTAAGCCTGGCTTGTTCTCACTTTGGTAACCACTTTTCCACATCAGACAAAAGAAATCCGTTTAATTGAATACTTCCAGGTTTAATTGCAGTATAGGAAAAACAGAAGGAAAGACTGCCTGCAAAGGCCCAAGTTTTATTAAACTGAGATATGGGCATCTGAATGCAGCCTTTGTCTCCTCCATCCTTCTCTCCAGTCCTTTTTTCACTTTCAGTTTGTTATTACCACCCTCATTTTATATAAATAAAGGTGCTAATATACTGGTAGAGGAAGCTTGCATGGTCTTTTAAAGTGCTGAAGTAGATTTAGCAATAGAAGGCCAAATACTCTGAGAAGTAAGCTTGAATTACTTTCCTGTAGTTTGAACTACAGGAACAGACTGTTTCAAGTTTCAATTGTTATAATAACATGTAAGAATTGATCTTGAACATCAATTGTAAAAATGAAAGTATGGCAAGCATAGGAGAAGACTATGTACCATGCTCTTTTTTTACATGTTAACAATGGGTAACTCCTACCATCAAAATTAGAAATAAGTTGTTAGCTTGCCAGAGACAATGGTTTAAGCATCTAGTGTCTGAATTAAATGAGATTTTTTTCCCCAGTTTGGCCAGCATGAAATAAAAATAATGCATGTTATACATTTTGACAACTTTACTGTCATGCTTTATGATTGTTCATGGGTTTTGGCTACTATGGAGGGTTCTGTTGGAGAGACTGTCAGGTGGAGCAGACATACTTTAAAGTATTATTTTTTAAAAAAATTATCAAACATGTATTGGAAGTGCTTCAAAGAAGCCATCCGAGATCACTTAGTAGCTCTGTGAGAGCTGATCACATGGCCACTGCAACGGCATGCAGTTAACTGTGCTGGTGAATTTAAATAGCAAGATCTTGAAGGTCAATATTTAATTGACATAACCAGCTCTGTGTTCCATGAGGCTAAGAAGCCAATCAGATGCTGATGAAGATGCAGTGAATTTAGCCGTGTTCACAGACTTTATACAGGCCTAAATAACGCTTACAATATGCATATTTCACCAGTAGCAGCCAGCTGCCATTTTGCAACCACACTGTGTGCAATTCTGGCTTATCAGCCATCAGCCTTCATCCTGTCAATGCAAAAGCCTGTCCACAAGAGGCAAGATGACTGATGTATAATTATTGGATAACTGTCGTTTCCACTGTTTGAGAAATCTGGCCTTAAGGGAGCTATGTTGTTAGACTATGGAATGAATAACATTGCTCGAGATACAATTCTTCTCCCCACTAAGCTCAGTTTCAGACAACACTCAAAGTATTTTTGCCACTAAAGATGTCATCCAGCCTGTTTGACACCAATCATTGGCTCAGCCGAGCTACAGAAGAGTTTCCATACATTTCACATCACTTCAACATGCTTTCCACTGCCTTGATAGATTTTAACGTTGTATTTGTAAGATTTCTCTTTAAAAACTATAAGGAGCCAACGTGTCTCCAACATTTCACTCTTCAGTTCCTGAGCCTCTTATAAAACATTATGTTTTGTATTCCTCAAAAGTGCATTCATTGAAAAACCAGAGCTGTGCAAATTTGCAAAATCTTATCCTCCATTAAAAAAAACCCCAAGAACTGTCAGCTCATATATGTACTGGTGCTTTGCTTTTCTTCTATAAAACTGTTTTTAATGGAAGCTGAGGCACTGAAGATTGGCAGGCCCCTACAAAGCAAATACAGTACTATGTGTATTATACCCTTCTGATGAAACAGAATTCCTCTGCTAAAAATATCTGCTACAGAGAACACCTTTATATACAGGGACTGTAGTGCAGCATCTCTCCCTTCCTGCTCCCAACTTGGCCATGTCACACTCCAAACCCCTCAACCCACTCTCTGAACATCCATATAACAGAACCCCCGTCCTGTTGCTTTCTGCACTGCCCTTTTCTCTGGAGATTATTATGAATTAGTAACATGCACACCATATGCCTGTCCTTGCACTGTTTCAGATTTTCAAACATTTTACTGCTAATAGATTGGATTCTGTTCTAGGAGACCGAACTCTCCCTGCCAACATCTCATAGCCACTCATGACCCTACATCCAGGGAAGGAAAAAGCCCTTTAGAATACACCAAGCTCCTATAATATGCGGTGCTTCTTACCCCCTTTCGGGATGGGAACAGATGGGGGGGGGGGGCACTGGCTAAATTTGATGATTTTTGTTGTTGCAGGGAATTGCAAGTCCGGAAGGAAAATATACTTCTTTTTCTGTTTAGTTCTCTTTTTTTTTGACAGTTTTTTCTCTTTTGTTTTTGCATATAACATTAAATATCGTCGCTTACAGTATCACATGCAAAACACATGCTGGCTTGGAAAATGCAGACTCTAAATAGTTTAGCTTGGCGGCACTATTTCTTAGGCTTTTGCTTCGTCTGTCTTGGCAGCACTGCTTTGAAAAATAACTTGTCCTGTATTCTGCTGCTTGGTATCATGTCCCATGTTCTGTCGTTCCAGGAGAAGCTTGCAGGAGAGATCATTCCCCATGTGGTCGCCGACAATTGTTCTGATTCTGCTGTTTTTATATATATGCATATACATATATATATGCATATATATATATATATATATGCATTTTTCTGCTGAAAAATAGGTTTCTTTTTTCCTGCATTTCTGTTATTGTGTCTCATTTATTCTTCCCGCCTTTTTTGTTTTGTTTTTTTGTGATCAGATCAAAATGCCATCCCATCCCAACTTCAGATGGGAAGAAAGAAAAAATCACAGTGAAAGCACCCATCTCAACAAGGGATGCTCCATTGTCGTTTTCTGTGTGCAAAAAGGAAAAAAAAAGAACAGAACAGGAGAACGAGGAAGAGGTGAAGGAAGAAACCTGGGCCTCTAGGCTTTCTCCTTCAGGCCCAGTCAAATGTTGGAACTTCCTGCTTCCTAACCCCATCATGGTCTCTATTCCTAATCTCAGTTTTTTCATCTGTAGGAACTTGATAGTTCTTAGAATATCTACATTGTAGGAAAGACATTATCATGCATCCAGGCAGAAGGGAGTGCTTGATCTTATTGCTTGTGATTGATGGAAGATCCATGCACAAAACAGAAGAACAATTCCAAGAAAAGATAGAAGGCCCAAGGCAGATGTATGGGGTGGCCTTCTCCAGAAAGACTGTGGAGTATCCATGTTTTCAAAAAGCCAGAATGGCTCATTAAGTAAGTAAGGAGAATAAGAAAAGGAGATATTGATAGAGATACTTGACAGATGTCTCCAGCGCGGATGGTCGTGACCAATGAGTGGGTTTTTTACGGGGAAAGGCGAGCAAGCAAACAGATCAGAGATAGATAAAAGAGATGGATAAATCAAACAGATTATAGTAGGCAGAGGACATATAAAGGAAGGGGAGAAGAAAGACAGATGGACAGACAGATGAAAGATAGGAAGGAAGAAAGGAAGGATAACTAAGCTCTATGGCTCATTACAGTCCTGAGTAAGATGGTAAGCAGGGAAACAGCATTAAACAGAGAGATAAAAGACAAAGCCGGGCAAGGAAAATATCGTGCAGTCTGGCGAAGTTGAAGAGGGAAAGCAATGCAGGTAACTTAGACGGGGGGGCCATACGCCTTTTCCTGCAGTGGTTCTCACCGCCCTCCCTTCTTGCTTTTTGGATTTCCAGAGCAAGCCAGCCCTCGGCACTCCCCCACCCCTCTGTACTCTGATGCCCCACGCCTGATCCGTAGCCACAGGGACAGGAGGTTTCAGGCCTCAGGGTTCTCATGGACATTCCAAAAAGTGCAAACTTCAGTGCAACATCACCTTGGCAACACCTCCTGCATTTCGTTTGTTCCAGTGTGCTTGGCCGCTTTTGTTTTCCTTCTCCTTCATTTTTTTATTTTTTGGCATTACCTTATTTTTTCCCTTTTTATATCTTTTTTTAAAAAAAGAAACAAACATACACGCTAACCCCAAGCATCTCTGGTGTGTCTCTATAGGATGGAAGGGATGGGCGAGCGAGGGCGTCGGACAGAACCAGGCGAGCCAAAGGGAGTGGGTGCTGGAGTTGGGCGCAGTCCAGCAATGCTGTTCAGGCTGTGGGATTTCTCATAGCCTGTAGGATGCACTGTGAGGAAGGAAGGAAGAAGAGAAAGGTTGAATGAGTTAAGAGGAAACAGGTCAGTCTAAGGCTTAGAGCAGCCTGCGCCCCAGCTGGCATCTGCCAGCTATGCTAGACAACAGCTCCCAGAATCCCCCAGTCAGCAGGAGAATTTTAGAAACGGCAGTCCAACACATCTGGATGGAGCTTGGTGAGAGACGGCTGCTGCAGGCAACAAATGCTTTAGAGCATGGATTTTGGTAAAAGCCCCTTGCTCTGAACCCTAGTGTCATGTTAAAGGGGGGGAGCCACTTTCTGCTTTCTTCATATGTCTTACACTGACCCAAATTTGTTCCACTTAGCTTGGTATTGGCTGTGTCTCGACAGTCATTGGTAGCTACATACTCCACAGTTTACAAAGGTGTGCACAAACGCGACGGCTGTGAGCTGCTCCTCTTTCCCTCTTTCTAATGTGTACTTGCTTCAGCCAGGAGATCCGACTATGTCCAAACCATGGAACTCTGGCTTAATTTTGATTAGCGAACAATTATCCTAAGCCAGAAGCAGTTTTAACTGATATTAAGCCAGAGTTTGTGAAAGTTGATGGTTTATGAAGCCATCGACAAATGTCCAGACACAGCTGTTGTCTCCTCTGATTGGCCACAGTTCTTCAATGGTTCATACGGAGCTCTGTCCTAGACCTGCTACCTGAGGTTTTTGAAAGGAAATATCAGGAACTGATGCTAGGATCTTCTGTATGCAAACTTTGTACTCTGCTCAAGTTAGGGCCCTCTACAGCGCTACTGCATCGGATAACTAGGAGGCAGTATTATAACTCCTAGCTTAGTGGGAATCGGGTCAAAGTGCCAATACATTCCAACTTTCTTGGGCCCAGACTGAGCTGCCAGATTAACTCTTTCCCTGACCATCACCATCCCTCACAGTTTCCCAAAGTAATAACCCCTTCCATAAAAAGAATTAACCATGGCCATCCATGTTGTACCTGGAAATACCATTATTTCATTATTTCTACTTTGCGACTGTGAATTCAGGTCACAGCAGCAGCTTCTGGCACCCCAGCTTCCGTACCCGCACTCCTTCATGTATCTTGTGCACACAAGATGACAGAGCAACACAGGGAGAAGGGAGGGTTCCACCTGCTACTGGAGTGCCTGGCTGCTATCATCACAAGCGAAAAATGCACTGGGAAGATGAGAAATTTGGGCAGCAGGTCTGGAAACGGGCTGGCCCACACTCCACCAGTGAATTGAAAACTCTGCTGGCAGATAATCTTAGCTTAGAGATCCATGAACCTTAGGTAAAAGCTTCTGCATCTCCCAACCCATGTAACTAGCTTAATAATATCAAATCTATTGCTATCTTGGAGTAAGCACACATAGCTGCAACGTCAATGCATTGTATTTTCATCCCACACTTCCTCCAAGGAGCTCAAATTAATCAGGTTAAGCTGAGCAAGAAGAACCGCAGCAACTGCATCTACTGAGCTTCATGACTGAACCCCAAGCTTCTTAGTCATGGGCTGTAGCCATGATACCATGCTGGCTCCCTCCCCACTGTTACAAAGGTAAATGACAGGTACCCTTTTCAGTTTCTCCCTTACTTCTTCCTTCAAGTACCATCGTTCTCAAAACAAGAGTCCTAGTACCTAAAGCCCTCCAAGCTAAAAGAGAGCAGAAGCCTTCTTAACTGGTTTTAGACTGTGCTCTTTCGAGTGGGAATGGTTCCCCATATAAAAATGCTCTCTGTATATACAAAGCCAGCATGTCAGGGTATGGAGCTTCTTCCAAGAATGCATATGTTGTATTAGCAAAAGTATTTTAGAGCCCCTTGGAACTCCATCTGAAATTGCACAGCCCAGGAACAGCTATATTATGAAGCATCTGTGACTAAACAATTACCTTGCTTGACATTTATATAGTAGGCAAAGAACTTCATATCACATACATAACACTAGTTGATCTACTCTGTTCAGGGGAAAACAAAGCACAAATGGCACAGTCATCTCTAGAATTCTGTGCTTCTGGCCAATCAGAATGCACCCCCCCCCCCCTTAAACGGAGAATCTGAGAGCCAGTGTAGCACAAAGAGCAGGAGCTGTTAGCTGGAACTGAGGTCAGGAGAGCCAGATTATGCCATTGCCATCTTTGCATTCATTTCACTTGCAGGTTTTAAATGCACATGGTAAGGTGTGAGCTGATAATTACTGGGATCACAGCAAGCATGGAGGGGGTATGAAACCCTTGCCTGCTTCAGTCCTTCTCTGAAGCTACTATCTACCTAGGAAAATAGAGGAGAGAAGTAGGATTTGGGGGAACTGAGAAGGAATCCCCTACTGTTATCAAGGTCCTGCTATCCCCCATGTCTCTTCCCATCTCTTTCCTCTGTCTTCCTATGGGGAGATCCCTGGTGCCCCTTCTTTACATGCTCACAGATATGTGCTTTACAAAGCCAGGCATGCAATACAAGCAAAACCATTCATGTCATGCTTGCATCCTTTTTATGAAAGGCCAGGTGAAGAGAGGTTGGACTTCGGCATGTTATGACCTGTGAACATTAAGTGTTCGGTGTATCATGTGTGCATAAGATGCAAATACTGTGCTGAAAAGTGCCATGTCGTCACTATATGTGGTGTGCCTCCAGCAGCTTCCAGTGCACACAAGAACGCATACTCTGAGCCTCCATGAGAAAAGTGAGGTGTGACTCTTCGAAATAAATAAATACATGAATAAATACTTACATGTCACTGATGTGCATCAGAGTAAAATGTCATAATGGACACCTCGCTCTTGCAGCTGAATAACATATAATCACATACGAATACACGGCATTAAAGGTCAAAGCAAACTGTGTATGTTAGTAGCATGAGCTGTGTATTAAATGTGTGTGTTAAAGTAACACGAGATTAGATTGTCCACGTGGGGGGCAGATGTTTATATGAACCTGTGTGTTTTCATTTTATGTATGTAACCAGCCTATTGTCTAAGGGTTCAACCTGTAAAATGAGGTCTCTGTATGTTGCATACATGTGCGTGGCTATTGCGTCATCCCTGTGCCAAGCAGGTACCAAAGTGCCCGGAGTTGGCTGTCCACATGCACAGGGAATGTGTGGGCAGTAGGTTAACACATGAACCATAAATGCTACTACTTGGTGTACTGGAGTAGTATGTAAACATTATTCATGGGGTGCACATATGTGTAGGTAGGAAGGTAGATGGATGAATGGCTAGACAGCATATGAATACTATCTTAGTATGCTTATAGTATGTTGTAGGTGGCATGACATGTCTGTAGCATATCAACAGATGCGCTGTTTATTTCTGCAGCACACTGTATGTTGGAGTAGGATGTCTTAAAAGCCTACAACTCCCATCATCCCTAATCCTTGCCTACACTGGCTAAGGCTGGCAGGAGTTGTCGACCGAGACATTTAGAAAGCCACAAGTTACCCGTTCCATCCAAGTATGTTGCATGACATGCGCATGGAAGGCATGTTGTCACATATGCCAGCATGCTCTTGACTGGCGCATGGAGCATAGTGCACACCATGTAATGCGTGTTATACATGCAGATAACAAGTCATCACATGGGCTGCACACATGGCGTGCTCTTACTGCTCAGACTTGCATGTTAGTCAACATTCATTATCTGTAACACAAACACAGCAGGTTTCCCACCAGAGCATCACACTAAGCCTCTCACAAGGCAAGGCCCAGATTCCCAGCCCATGGAAGCCTCCACGCCCCTCTCTCCCAGGCGTGACCGAGGCGTCGATGCTGCTCCGGCCGTGCATTTCAGCACTGCTACGCAAAGCTTCCCTGCACTGAACAGGCAGCCCCAGCTCCGCTATTCCAGCAGGATGGAGAAAATGGACTGTATTAGGCAGAGTGTGATGCCCTGAGGCCTTCTTTCCCATCCATCAGGCTGCCCCACCCCAGCACAAAAAGCCACAACACACTGAGATTGGATTGAAAGCATTGAGCAGGGCTGACCTGCCTCCGGGAGGTGCTGGAGTTCACATGCCCAGCCAGTCTCAGGCGGTAATCAGAGCTGGGGACAAAGAAAGATAGGGAGACCTGATCACACTGAGCTGGAAATGCTAAGCAGGAGAGCTTCTGCAAGCAGCAAAGTGGAATATTCATGTCCTTTGTGTGCACAAGAAAGGTTGGTTAGTTTTGCAAGGATCGCTGGCCCATTTGCCATTCTTTTGTACACAACAGGAGAGAAAAAGAAAAACAGCACGTGCAACAGTGCACATTCCCTGTGCTGCCCAGTGCACTTTGTAACTGCACAAGTAGCACCGCAAGGGGAATTTTGCACATTCTAAGGATTGCTTCAGAACAGATGAAATTTCCTGTACAAAAGTCAAATGAGTGAAGCAAAACTTAAAAGGCAGTAAGTTTGTCTCTTCTGTTTGCATATGCAAGTCTTCTTAACCATATGCATCCAAGCAGCAGGCTGCACATTTATCTCATTTCGCATTTGAAGAAACAGCTTCATCTGCAAACAGGCAACAAAGTACAAATGCAGATACGGAAACTGTTTGATTGCATTTGTTACATTCATTTGCTCATCCAGGTTTTGCATGTGCAGATGGAGAGCAGAGCTTTCCTGGCATGCAACAAGATTTGAATTTGCCACCAGGAGTTCACACTTACCTTCTCTGTGTGCTCTCTCTTTGTGTGAACACACACTCTTTCTCACACTCAAACACACACACTTTGCTGTTGCAACCAGAGCAAAGTGAACCTTTATCACCTTTGCACTTGCAAAGAATTCTGTATGTGCAAACAGTTGAGGTGTGCCTGTCTCTACTCCATATGTAGGACACTTTGCATGTGAAAAGGGGAGTGGCATTGTGAGTTCTATCACACAGAAGAATATCAGAATGTGCAAATGGGGACAAGAGTGCACCCCTATCAACCACACTGGGCTACAGATTAAGTAAAGACCAAGATGCTAGGGTTGGGCACTGTGCAGTCAATAGTAGGAAACCTCTAAGGTAGGTT